TCAGATTTATTTACGTGCGACACGCTAATAGTTTGTCTCATTTTGTACTATTTAGCTTGTGTACTTATTCTAATAATTTATGTATTAGTAGCATAAACCCTAACTTATAAGAATCATGGATAGTAAAACTACAAAAATGCCCAAAGTGGCAAAGGTAAATATTTCAATACCAAAGTTGGAGAGTGTTACTCAATTTACTTGAATTTGTCTAAAAATTAATGCTTTTTAGGTGAAAAACAAAGCGCCCGCAGAGATACAAATTACTGCTGAACAACTTTTGAGAGAAGCCAAAGAGCGAGATTTAGAGATTTTACCACCACCACCAAAACAGAAAATATCTGATCCAGAAGAGCTTAGAGACTATCAGCATCGCAAGAGAAAAGCATTCGAAGATAATATCAGAAAGAACAGACTTGTAAGTACCAGACTCTAGAATTAAAAGTGATTTTAAATATAAATTATATTATTTTGTTATAACCTAAAAAAAATATTCTGACTAAAATCTAATAAGTTGAATGTAATTCCAATATAACTATGAAATTTAGCAATACTAAGTGGATTATATTATTTCAGGTTATAGGAAATTGGCTCAAATATGCTCAGTGGGAAGAATCACAAAAGCAAGTCCAGAGGGCTAGATCCATTTATGAGAGAGCTCTTGATGTGGACCACCGAAATGTTACCTTATGGTGAGTTATAATAGAATGTAATTTTGAACAATTGTATACTGCTTAAACAAATAGTAACAATAAATGAACTTTAATTGCAGGTTGAAGTATACAGAAATGGAGATGAGGAACAGACAAGTGAACCATGCTCGCAACCTATGGGACAGAGCAGTCACTATACTGCCAAGAGTCTCTCAGTTTTGGTACAAGTACACCTACATGGAGGAGATGTTGGAAAATGTTGCAGGAGCCAGACAGGTATGAATCCTGTTCATAGCTCAAACATTTGTACATTTATTTTATTGAAAATATAACAAATGATTGATGTTATTTAAATTTCTAGGTCTTTGAACGTTGGATGGAGTGGCAGCCAGATGAACAAGCATGGCAAACATATATAAACTTTGAACTAAGATATAAAGAACTCGATAGAGCTAGACAAATCTATGAAAGATTTGTTATGGTGCATCCTGATGTTAAGAACTGGATCAAATATGCCAGGTTTGAAGAAAATCATGGATTTATAAATGGTGCAAGAAAGGTATTTGAAAGAGCTGTTGAGTTCTTTGGTGATGAGGATCTTGATGAAAGACTATTCATTGCCTTTGCAAAGTTTGAAGAAAATCAAAAAGAGCATGATAGAGCCAGAGTTATCTACAAATATGCATTAGACCACATTCCAAAAGACAGAAATAAGGAATTGTATAAAGCTTACACTATTCATGAGAAAAAGTACGGGGACAGATCTGGTATTGAAGATGTTATTGTAAATAAAAGAAAGTATATGTATGAACAGGAAGTTATTGAGAATCCCACCAACTATGATGCCTGGTTTGACTACATAAGACTTGTTGAGAATGAAGGAAATGTGGATGATATCAGGGACACCTATGAAAGAGCTATTGCAAATGTACCTCCTTCGAAGGACAAGCAATTCTGGCGACGATACATATACTTGTGGATTAATTATGCTTTATATGAAGAATTAGAAGCAGAAGACGCTGAAAGAACAAGGCAAGTTTATAGAACATGTCTGGAACTAATACCACATAAGATATTTACATTTTCTAAAATATGGCTAATGTATGCTCAATTTGAAGTGAGGTGTAAAGATTTAAAACAAGCAAGAAAGACCCTAGGTATGGCTCTTGGCATTTGTCCCAGAGACAAGCTTTATAGAGGTTACATTGATTTGGAGATTCAATTGAGAGAATTTGATAGATGTAGAATATTATACCAAAAGTTTTTGGAATATGGCCCGGAAAACTGTATAACATGGATAAAGTTTGCAGAGTTAGAAACATTGCTTGGTGATACTGACAGGGCTAGAGCTATTTATGAAATAGCAGTAGGGCAGCCAAGACTTGATATGCCTGAGCTCTTATGGAAAAGTTACATAGACTTTGAAGTACAACAAGGAGAAACAGAAAAAGCAAGACAACTTTATGAAAGGTTGTTGGAGAGAACAGTCCATGTAAAAGTTTGGCTTTCTTATGCAAAGTTTGAATTAAATGCTGAAAATGCTGACAATATAAATGTAGATCTCGCTAGGCGTGTCTATGAGCGTGCTAATGATAGCCTCCGAAGTGCTGGTGAAAAAGAGGCTAGAGTACTTCTACTAGAAGCATGGAAAGACTTTGAAACTGAAATTGGTGAAGAAGAAAAGCTTGAAAAGGTTCTATCCAAGATGCCTAGAAGAGTTAAAAAGAGACAAAAGATTATTAGTGAAAGTGGAGTTGAAGAAGGATGGGAAGAAGTATTTGATTATATTTTCCCAGAGGATGAAATGGTTAGACCTAATCTTAAGCTGCTTGCTGCTGCAAAACAATGGCGCAAACAAAAAGAAGTCTCACAACCACCAGAATTAGAATCTAGAACTGACCATGAAGAAAGACAGGAGAATGATGATGATGATGATGATAGTGAAGAAGAAGAACAAACTCCTCCACAACCACAGAACCGGAATGAAAAAGAGGATGAAAGTTAATTTGACAATAATTAAGAATAGAGTAAAATAAAAGATTTTCTGGAATTTTATGTCATTTATTTGTCCAAGCTAATCAACATCTTCTGGGCGAACTGGATGTGTCAGTGGTATTACAGACTTTTTATTAACATCTCTTGAACATGCTTTTCTCATATCTGCAACACAAAATAATAAATGAAATAGTATACACAAAAAATTTTAATTAAATTATCAAAACATCATCTTACCATAAGCATCTTCATCTGGATCTCCAGAGTAATATTCTAATACTGTCCTATACACTATGTAGCCTAAGTTCTTGTACATATTAATTGCAACTTTATTGCTTACTCTAACAAAAAGGTCCACAAAATAGGCTTTTTTCCTGTAAAATTCAAAACCAATTATGCACTAATCATATTTAGAACAAAAATTTTAATATTTCTTATATTAAGTTATATACTGACTTCTCTGACACATCTTCCAAAATGTTCATCAAAGTAGCCGCAAGGCCCAGCCTCCTGTATTCAGGGCCTACAGTCAATGCAGTAACATGACCATGCCAGTTCTCGCCATGACCCTCAGCTTTTCCCATAACTGAGAATATATTTTAACAATACAATACCAGAGCTATTAAATGGGTAGTACTTACACACCACAAAACAGAAAATCAATTGAATCACTTACTGTATCCCATTATTTCTCCACTTGGAGACTCAACAACTTGAAAATATTCTGGCCAATGAGCTAAATATTGAGTATAAAACGATAGCCCATATGTTTCAGTAAGAGGGTCCAAATTTCTGTGAAAATGTTATTATGAATAAGTTTTACTTGACAAGCATGCGGCATCTGCACTATATAAATAATGTTTCCAAAATATTTGCACTCACACATTGTTGAATTTCAACATGTCTTCACACGTAAATGGTCTAATAGTAGTCATTTTTAAAAAGGTATCGGACGTGCAACTGAACGTATAAATACGTGAATACTATTTTATTACAAAATACCTAATATTTTCTTGGTAGAATCTTTATTAAAAGGCGAAAGATTTATGCGTTTTGAAGGGAAACCAGAAATTTCAGTGTCTATTAATCTTGTCATTGTCAATGTCAAATTATCATTATTGTCAATGTTATGTCAAGTACGATGGAACTCATAGACATTGTTTTTTTTTTCATAATATCTATATATCGAGTAACTGAAACATGCATCGTCAACCAAGTTATTTTTAGTCGAATCGTACAATCCATACTAAGTCTTGAAATCTTGACTTGCTAAAAACAATCACCATTTTCGTGATTATTCTTTCTCATTTGCTATATCTTTATATGTTCCGTGCACACTATGCATCATCATCAGTCATTAGTGTCATCACACATCACTATGAATTTAGTAATAAAAATAACGTTACGTTGTAGTGTAGTAATGTAAAATGTACCCATTTTATACAATATAGTTGTAATTGCAAGTTAGACCAGAAGAAATAACATGAGGTGCAGTCACTGCACATCAAGAAGAACTCAAACAACTACTTGTTTCGCCATAACGTCGAGTGAAACGTTGAAAGACGTCGAAAAACACTATCCCTAATAAAATCACTAATATCAGTCGAGCCTCGAAACATCAATCAGAAGATCGAAAAACCCTTTATGCCATACTATTTAAATGATCGTTAAAAAATTGTTCCGTTTCCGAAATAGTTGTGCTAGTATGCTATTACATAGTACAATAACAGCGCGACCGTTTTTGAACACCAGATGGCGCTAATTTAGCAAGCGTTCGTACTTTGGTCCAATCACTGTTGCTGTGAAGAAAAATGAATGACCAATGATGTGTCACAAGCTTTTTATTGAAATGAGGTTTTTACTACCTCCATCAGATACTCATCATCATCATCCATTTTACTGGTGAGCGATAAAACGAAAACCTTCATAGGAAATGAAACAAATTGAAAATCGTACTATAGGTATGAATAGCTATTGAGTTTGTCAGTTTTAGTAATTTGATAGGTGAATATTTTTGCAAGACTGAAAATATGTATTAAGTCTGTATCTTTGTCTCATTGTTTTGCTTGTGACGACGATATGATGTTTATGTTATAAAATCATAATCGACTAAAAAGCAACCTATGCATAGTGCTTATAATAAAATTATTTAAAGAATAAATTGTTTTGTAATTCTGAAGCAGAAATTGTTTAAATAATGGTCTTAAAGTATAAAACTTCATAATTTAGTATTTTAATTTATAAATATCATCAAAATTTGTTGTAAAGTGTACAAAATCTGAAGTAAAAATAGAGAAAACAGAAACATTCACGATTTTGTTGCCACCTGTAATAATTTTTGCTGTACTAGAGTTATTGTCTGACTCGTTTTAACACATGTCGAAAGACATATTTATTACTCTTTTACAAGCTAAAAGCTCAAGTGGAGCGATCTATGGGCTTCTTGCAGTTTACCAACACGACAATGGCCGAATTGTCCGTATAGGATATTTTTTATTGGCCCGTACGTCCCAACCTGCCATGTCTTTGGTTTTAAAAATGGCGTATACAAGCTTTTTGTTTGCCGGTGTACGCTGTTGAATACTTTCCAAGACCTCGCGCGTATTCCTATAAGACCTAAACGTCGTGAATATGAAATTAAAGTACATGTGTAGGTATATAATCAACGCTGTGGACCCCGTGAACGAAATTTTGTAGCGTTATGGTGAATTAGAATGGTGCCTGTGGCTTGTCAATCTCGCACGTCGTCAGGTTACCCGTTCGTAACGTAAATATCACCCAGCGAGCGTTTTGTATTTCAGATATGACAGCGTCGCAAAACAGTAGATAATGGAGAGTTCTGAAGATGATGCGGGCACAGCGACGAACGCTTCCCGCCGTGCATCGGCGCGGGAAAAGGACGTCGGACTGGCCGAGGACGTCAATGCAACTAGTAGTTTCCAGCAGGAACCATCTGAAACGCGGACAGCTTGTGATACTCCCGCGATGTCGGAGGATAATTTCGACGGCGATAGCGTACCGTCGCCGTCGACGCAAGACGTCAACGCGAGCACCGAGGCGATTTTGGATATGATAGATGAAATTGTTGACGGTCCGGGTGCGCCAAAGCGGGTACCTCTAGAATCGGAATCTGTAGATACGCTTTTTGACGAACTCGAAATCACCAGTGATCACTCGAATATCATCGTACAAGAATCAAGTAACACTCTTTCGGACAACATCACTGCACATCCCGCAGAAGCATCGCCAGCCGACAGTGCCAAAAACGATTTACCGGTTCAGTTTGGCATTAATTCTCAGGCCGAATCGTCTTCAAGTGATCTATCACCAGGTGTTGTAAATGCAGACAGTGTTGACTCTTTACCACAAAGTTCATCTCTGCCAGAGGCAAGTGAGCCTGCAGTGTCTACACAGCCTGAAGACAGTGCTCTGTCAAATGTGGTACCTGAGGCATCAGAAGCACCTGTTAGTTGCCCTCCACCCTATATTCCTTCCAGCAGTGAAGAAAAGACTGTGCTGAGCATTACAGACTCTAGTGGTGATTGTGAAACACAGGAACGAACAGTGAAGTGTGTGTCATCCAGTGATAACAGGGACAATGTGACTGTCGAAAGTGCAGAATCAACATCTAGTGATAGTAGTGTTAGTGAAGGTAAAGCAGTGTTTGTAGAAACGCCAGTTCGGTCACCACTCAAACGGCGTCTGGTACGGCCAGCACCCAGTGATCGACGGCCAGACTCTACAGTGTCTTCAACTGTTGATTCCCAAATTGTTCATTTTCCCGCTACTGAACAAACAAGTAGTGAAAATATCACCAAGGATGTGACAAGTTCATCTGATGCTGTGCCCACATTACATGGTAACGTAAAACCAGAAGAGATTAGAAATGTAAGTGAAAATAATTTCTGCAAAGCAGAAACGTCTGTGAGTTCTCCTAAAAAAATTAAGCTTATTAGGCAAAAAGTTATTTCTGGTACTAATAATAGAGATAATTCTATTAATCAGTCTGCCATTCAGTCAGATAAGGATCAGTGTCAATCAACTTCATCTGATAGCCATTTGTTACCCTTGGCTGAGCCTCATTCAGAATCTTCAAATAATATTAATATCTCACAATCTCAAGACAGCAATGAACCATTAATTCCTGTTGTTAATTGCATATCTGAAACACCTGTACAAACAGTGACCTCTGATGAACATTCCCAACCCAGAATAGAACATTCTCATTCATCAAAACTAGAAGAGATTGAAACACATGAACAGACCCTATCTGATCAGTCCAGCTCATGTTCACCAAATTCTTCGGAAGCAACCAAACCTATTGTCGATGATAGTAATGTAGTAAACGAAACTAGTAGTATATCTGTTCCAAACTCTGCCCCACCACAAGCTGAAATTATTGAAAATGATTTGATCCCTGATGAAAGCAATGTTAATTATGATGATCACGGGGATAGTAAAGATGTAGAAAGTGCTCAAAATGAAGTATTGCCTTCCTTACAAAACTTACCTGCAAGCACACAGAATGTAGAGAGCTCGGAACCAGAAAGTAGCAATAACAGAGCTCAAAATCTTACAACAACTCAAGATAGTGTGCAAATTCAAGATCATACAGAGGACCATCTTCCTCCAAATGAGCAAAATGATATGCAAGTTGATGACCACACACAAGTCCAAAATCAAAAGGACCGGGAAGATAACATGCAGGTGGAAGAGCACATAGAAAGGCAGGATCCCAATCAAACTGAAGATCAAACAAAACAGGAAGATGATATGCAAGTGGATGAGCATACAGGAGAACAAGATCACTCACAAGTCCAAGACCAAACTACCCAGGAAGATAACATGGAAGTACAAGACAACATGAAACAGGATGATCATACCCAAGAGCATGATCATACAGAAGTGAAAGATAACACACAGGCGCAAGATCATACACAAGTGCAAGATCACACACAAGTGCAAGATCACACACAGGCGCAAGATCATACACAAGTGCAAGATCATACACAACTGGAAGATCATATACAAGTGCTGGAGCATACAGATGTGCAAGATCACATGCAAGTTCAAGATCATACAAAAGTAGAAGATCACATGCAAGTGCAAGATCATACAAAACTAGATGATCACACGCAAGTGCAAGATCATACGAAACTAGATGATCACACGCAAGTGCAAGATCTTGCAAAAATAAAAGATAACACGCAAGGGCAAGATCCTACACAAGTGCAAGCTCACACACAAATCCAAGAACACACTGGTGTGCAGGATCAGGCACAAGTGCAAGATTACACGCAAGTGCAAGATCCTATACAAAAACAAGAACATACACAGTCCGACCCTTCACATGCGCAAGATCGCAAGCAAGTGGAAGATCACACAGAAGTGCAAGATCATAAAGAACTGGAAGATCACATCCAAGTGCATGATAATACACAAGTGCAAGATCACATGCAAATGCAAGATCGCCCGCAAGAACAAGATCATACACAAGGGCATGATCAGACACCACTGCGTGAACACACGCCAGACCCAGTTAGCATACAGGTGCAAGAAAATATCCAAATGGAAGATACTAAGCCAGTACAAGAGGATGAAAAGAAAGTTCCACCTATCAAGCTTAACTTATCTATGGCTAATCTAACTGAATCAAACAAAGAGACAGAACACAGCAGTATTAGTAGAACCAATGCTACCCATGAAGAATCTGAAGTCACCAAACAAGTCCCCAAATTAACTATCAAGTTGAAACAACCAGATGAAATTAAGTCACCTGTGCCCAAAGTAACAATAAAACCTATCAAACCACCTGTTGAACAAGATTCAGATGATAACACTGAAGATAATCATCAAGTACCTTGTGTAACTAAAATAAATATTAAGCCTATTCCTAAACCAGAAAATCTTAATGAGAAAACATTGAGATCACAACATACGATAGAAGGGTCCACTAGACCAAATGCAAGTGTCACAAAGCTAAATATAAAACCAATACCCAAACCTCCAGAGAAAATAAATGATTTTCATAGAAAATCTAGTAGCAGCGAAATTTCTGAATCTGAATATTCTGAAAACGATGAAACCAGCACTTCAGACCAAGCATCTACTTCTGATCAGGGACCTTCTGATGTTGTCCCAAAAGTTACAATTAAACTAGGAAAGCCTGGCACTGAAAGTGAAGGTAAATTTTATACTGAAAAGAATATTCCAAGACTTACTATAAAAGTCCAACAAGATGAAAATGATGAACAAGAACCTAAATTAAAGAAGATGGTAATTAGTCAGTCAGAAGCGTCTTCTGACACACAACTTGAAAAAATTCCTAAACTGACAATAAAAACTATCTCAAAATCAGAAAGTCAACCTCTCAGTCCAAAGTTGACTATTAAACCTTTGAAACCACCAGATACAACCAATAAAGATGGAGAAATAATCCCTAAAACGAAGATATCTACTGAATTATTTGCATCAGCAGATGTAAAGGAGAGTCCACATGTGCCTAAAATTACAATCAAACCTGTAACAAGGTCTACAGCAATGTGTGACAGTCCAGAACATATCCCTGTAGTAACAAAATTGAATATTAAACCTATTTTGAAACCTATGGACAGTGGAGAGACCCCTGAAGGCTTTGAAGATAAAGTTCCTGTAGTTTCAAAATTAAATATAAAACCTGTACTAAAGCCTAAAGATAATGATGTAGATTCTAGTGTAGATGATGTACCTAAAATAACTAAATTAAATATTAAACCAATAAAGAATCCTGAGGATATTTCTTCAGAGGAAAAAGACTGTGATGAATTGAATGCTGACATTGAAAAAAATAGTATACCTGTTGTTACTAAAATTAATATTAAGCCTATAATTAAGCCTCATGATGAAGAAACACTAAAGGATTCAGAAAACCAATCATCAGAGACTGGTAATTCAAGTGATGATAATGGAGACCACATACCTGTTGTTACAAAACTAAATATAAAACCAATTATAAAACCTGACAGCTCAGATGAATCTTCTAAAACTGTTTCATCAAGTGAACCAAGCATTCCTGTTATAACTAAATTAAATATTAAACCAATAATAAAGCCCGGAGAAATCTCACCATCATCCCCTAAAAAGGAATACAAAATTGATGGCCATAGTCCAATACCGGTTGTTACTAAATTGAATATTAAGCCTGTTGTAAGGCCTGATGACTCTGATTTAGCAAAAAGTAAGGATGATACTATAGATAAAACTCCCACAAAAAATCCTCCCCTTGTGATGAAAATCAACATGAAAACCATGACAGAAAATTTCAATAATGAACATGCATCTTGTAACAACATCATCAATGAACCATTGCCTATGTCTCCTAAAAAAGTAAAGGTAACTAATGCAACAGAATCTAAATCTGAAGCAGCCTCAGAAAAGAATTCTAAAAGAAGTAGTGAAGCAGTAAATGATATATTGGCCCCAATAAAGGACCATTCTGGAGAAAAAGTCAAACAAAACTGTGTACCTGACTCTATTGAAAAGAATGCAGGTGTTGAAACACCATGTGTAAATAAACCAGCTTCATCTCTATCAGAAAAAGAAAAGCATTTACAATCAGGCACAGGCACTGAATGTGATTCTATGGTTACAGGATCCTCATTTCCTGAGTCTAGTACAGATAAAATGCCAACTGTAATTAATGCAACTGGCCAAGAACACAAGAACATGAATTTAGGACCCACTGACTCAATAAGTGAGGCAACTATGATGCAAACAATTAGTAGACATCAAGAAACAAGAAGTAGCAGATCAGTGCAAAATTGTACTTTATTGAAAAAACTTTTAGAAAATAAATGTAGTAGTTTAGATAAAAACCTTGAAATATCTCCAATAGTGAATTATGCTCTGCCTGCTGAAAATAAAATCTTAAACAGTGATCATTTACTTGAATCAGGAAAATCTAGCTTCGAGAAATTAAGTTCTGGAAATCTAGAGAAAATGGAGAGGAGAAGTGCTACTCCTGATAAGATAAATGATTCAAAAAAGTCTGTAGATTCGATTACACATGCAAACCAAGATCATTGTGATAAGCTAAACGAGAACTTAACCAAACCCTTAGAAATTACCATATCTGATAAGGTTACAAATCAAAGTTCTGGCCAAGATTCTCCAAGAATAATATTAAAAATTAATAAGACTGATCATGGTCCCTCAGCAAAAATTATTACTGAAGAAGTAAAGAGGCCTGATGTGCAACAGAACCTCTCTGAAAATACTCAAGATATTGTAAATGATAAACAGAGTCCGAAAAAATATGTAAATAGTAGAAAGAAACAAGCATTAGATACATCATTGAATTTATCTTCAGGCAAGCGCTTAAGGAGTTCAAGGATCGTAGAAAATACAGAAAAGACTCCAATAGCAAAGCGGAATATGGGCAAGAGGCCATCCACAACTGATACTAGCCCTCCTCAAAACAAAGATTCTGACCTTTCCTTGTTACAGAGTAAAAGGTTAAAATTAGGACAACTTTTGAGCAACAAGTCCCTTACGATTAGTCCTGTTGCTAAAGCTTCTCCGCCCTCACCCACAAAGACTGGTTTAGATTTAAAACAGGGAGGTAAAAATGTCAATCACTCTCTATTGAATAATGAGAATTGTTCAAAGAATGGCAACTCAAAACTACATAATATTTTGTCTAATTTACATGCAAAACAAAATATGCAATCATTGTCTTATAATAATACAAACTGTTTAGAAAAACCACAAACTGTGGCTACTGATAAAGAAGTAAACGCTTCAGTGAGCAGCTTGGATGCAGTTGGAACTACTTCCGTACAAAACTCGCATCCCGAACTACAAGAAATGATAATAAATGAAAACTCAGAATATCGTGAGTTTGGCACTACTCCTGAAGAGGTTTCTCAAGATCCTTTAGAGGTAGCCAGACCACCTGAGGAAAACACAGAGATTGTAGACATTCCTAAATCAGTGGAATTAACACCGCAACCTAAAAAACGGGGACGGCCACGAAAGTTGCCAGTATCTGAAGGAGCGAAACCCGTGGCATTGCCGGTGCCAGCCTTAGAAGAGCGGCCACAGCGGTCATTACGCTTAATGAGGTAAATATAGGTTTTCTATAAAGGTCTTTTGTTAATCTAAACAGTAATATTACATAGTGAAGATATATACTCTATGTCCACAACTTAATGAATATTAACATTAAGTACGTTGTTTCCAGGGACAGGCCAGCAATACTGACGAAACCACGAGGCCGTGGTAGAGGGCGAGGGGCACGACGTGTGGAAGCGACTACTCCGCCTACAGAACTCGAGACTATTGTAGTTATCGAACCTGCTGACGAACCGGAAGACCGACCACCTCCTGCCGAAATCGACCCGACAAGTTCGAGGATCAAGCTTCCGCGTATGACGGAGGCACTCGACAAAATGCCTTCTGCTTGCGTAACACCTTTGTCAAGTAGAAGACGGAATTCGTCAGGGAATTTCTCGACTGGTGAATCGCCTGAATTGAAGGTTGTGCTTGAGAACTCAAAAATCGACGATACGATGAAGAGTCCTGAGGCTGGTGGTTCAGGGAGGGGTCGAGGTGGGCGAGGGAGCCGTGGTGGTCGGGGAAGGACGCCACGTGGTCGAGGACGGGGGAGGGGAGGCGGCCGTGGCGCTACCTATATGAAGGTATGTTGTTTGGTTACATATCTGCATAAGTATTTTTTCTATTAGAAGATTTCTTAAACAATTTTATTCAGTGAAAGAGGGCAGTGCATTTACCATGATTAAACTCGCGTTACAGGAAACTATGGGCATCTACGGGCGAGTGTGCGGGCCAGCTACGACAACAGTGCAGCTCTTCGAAGAAGAAACGTGTATGATGGACGATAACGCCACTCCCGCTAAGTGAGTATGACTAAATTATCTGACTAACACTATAATTTTATTAACTTTATCTGCATAACGAATCGAGTTATCATAAGAAATAAGAAAACGAAGGTTGTAAATGACACTATTTTATGTTTTTAGACCCACACATTTATTGGATGAAGATTCTCAAAGTTCTGTGAAGAGTTCGACGAATGAAAGTAGTAAAATGAAGAAATCAAAATTTGCTGATTTGTTTGACAGGTATTTATAGAAAACATTTCATTGAAATAAAGTTGTATTCATAAATATAATTATGAAATATAAGTTATTTAACATGATATTATTTGTGTTTTACAGTAATAAGGTATGGACGGCCGCGGACGTAAAGGAATACACGTGGCCCCCACCAGACAAGGCTGATGTTGAACATAAGGTAAACTATTATACATTGGTTTATTAACTGAGAAACATTTCTTGAACATCTATTTAGCGCTAGGTTTGAGTAACCAACCGTTGTTGAACATAGGCCCCAATGACTTTCAAATCAACCAATTGGAAGCTATCTACGAACTTTTTAGGTCATTTGTTTATCTGTCTGACGACAAATGCCTATGGTACACGTTATTGTTCTGACTGTTACAGTAAAAATAATAACAATTTGGGCAAGATTTCGTTTACTAGCCAAAAATGGTTTCTAAAGAGAAAAGAATCAATACACATTAAAAGTATATTTTATAATTTTTATTACAGGTAATGATGATCCAGGAGCAAGTAGCGATGTTCCTAGGAGTGAAGAGCTTCAAGCGGCGGTACGCGGAGCTGAAGAGGCGGACTATCTCTGGTGAGGAGAGGGACTACGTTCTTAGTAAAGGTCTCGTGACTGAAGCATTGTGTGACCTTGGTGAGTTTAGTTTTTAACCTATTATTCTAACTATAAGTAGTAAGTGCTCGTTCTTTCTTTGTTAGGTGCAGGAAAAGAATGTGGCCTGGAAGTCATCATAATAATGATGGCACTCGACTTTTATGCACTCCTATAACATTGATCAGATTTTGACGACACTAGTAGGATTTTCTAGGGGTGTCCATGCTAAACTTCGTTTGGAATTCTTATAACGATTGTATTCAGTTGTTTCTGCTTTTAATCTTTGGTTATGTCATTATAATTGAGGGTTTTATTCCACGCTTCTATTTTTTTGTTATATGACCAAAAACACTATTAACAAAATACCGTTCAACAGGTATCACGGCGGTAGACGCCAGTGAAGTATTAGACATTATGTTATCGGACTATCCACACAAATATGAAGAGTTTCGGTCGTACCAACGGCAACGGCAATTGGCTGAAGCTGCTGAGGAATCGGCCGAAGACATTAAAACCGAAGAAAAGGTGGTTAAGGTTGAAATGAAACCGGAGAAACCGGTTGACCATAAACCTGAGCAACCGAAAATTGACCCTGAAAAGACAAGACAGGTAAGTTAGGGTCGTAAGGTAGATAAATCTTTGGTTTTCGCGATTTTTAAGTATTGTACTACAAGTAACTTAAATGGATTATTTTTCATGTAGGTAATTTTGTATTTATTTATTCTTGACGTTTATGCGTTTTTCTTTCAATTGAGGTCGCGGGTAGATTAGATTGTTTTTGACAGATATTTTAAATAATTGTAATGTAAAAGTACCGCACATTAGAATTTTTCCGCGATGGATGTACACAGTAGACCACTGTCTTCATTCTTCCGTGATTCTTAAAATATACACTTATGTTTCTTGTTTATTTATAACTCTGTTTCACCTACAATACTTTAATTTTATAATTTTATATTACTATTTGTGTTTCTTATTATGTTATTTCTTGTAAATATTGAGTGGTCGTAAACAACATGTTTATATATTGTGCGGTATGTTATTATGTACATAATTATGTTGTTTTTGGCTACTTTTTTTAGTCATACATATTTTTTCGTCTTTTCAATACAATAAAATATTCAGAAATAGATTTAAGTAATTTTCATATTTTTCTAACTAATTTTTACGACACAGGTAAACTACATATATTATTAGACCCAAAAAAGGTCAATCTCGACGTACTTTGACAATTCGAAAAAAGTATTGAATGTGACTTATATTTTAGTATTTAATTTATACATGGTGCTAGGACATGGCGGCGGCAGCTATAGCGTCGGCGAGCGAATGGAACGCGCGAACTAACGCCATGCGGCGCGGCGCCTGCGCGGACCTGCAGAGCCTCACGGTGCAGCGCGCGCGCGCCCCGCCCGCCGCGCCCGCGCGCCCGCATCTGCGCCCGCCCGCCGGCTTCTACCCGCACGCACTCCTGCCCGGCCAGTACCAACACTCCTATAGGGTCTACACACCTGATCAGCTACGGTAAGACAATGTTTACTCATCTTAATATCAATTTGGTCACTGTTGAATTACGTGCCACAAGGAGGTGGTGAGAAAGGCCCTAAATGGTGTTGTTTTAAAAGTAACGTTAATACAACAATCGTGTCGGTTTTCGCAGGTACTTCCCATTGAACACAGTACTAGCGGCGCCGCCTGCTCCTCCATCAGAAGAATGGAGTTCTGAGTCAGAACCTGACTGGGGCTCAAGATTCTCGTCATCCGAGGATTCTGACGGCCCGACACATCATTCTGCTAAGGTATGTCATTGATTTGTAAACAAATAAGTGAAAATTCGATAATAACAGGTTTTTCCTTTTATCTTTGTTCAGCTTTAGCGATATATTTTCACGAAGTGGTGTCCTCATGTAATAATGTTTTTTTATCTGACTTTTCGATTTCAGGTCAATAAGGTAACTCTATTACATTACTTCAAAACTTTCGTAGCACAGACATGACATTCAGATATTGATAACTTCCTAATGCACATCTGAAACGTAAGGTCGTACAATTAAATGAGCATATCCAAACTAGATATGATATATAGGTACTTAATTAATTTTGGGTATCAACTGATCTACTTAAATGTTTTATGAAATTAGTGTCGTTATGTGTGGTTACAGCGGAAGAAATTGACGAAGACAAAGCGCAGTAGCCAGGCGGAGACCCGTGAAGTGAAGGAGTCGCGGGAGCCGCGCGAGGAGACCCGGCCGGAGGACCTCTGTCGCGTCTGCAAGCTGCGCCTCGAGGCCAACCGGCGCTACACGCACGAACGGTTCCTCGTCTGCGCCAACTGCAACGCCAAGCGTACGTACACTATATGTAAACATCTAGCAGGATACCAGCATCTTCATCAACTTTTTCAATAGCCCATGTCAGCCCTTTGGTGTGCTGTGAGAGGCTCCTTTACATAATAGGGATATAGTGATTCACACTTTACAAGCGGGATTAAGATCGCAGTTTTACTTTATACTTCACTAGCTAATAGTATGTAAGATTTTGTTGGTTAATTATGTGGTTTGAAAACATCATAAGTTTCAAATGTGTAATAGGAATGACAAAATCGAGAAGTATGTTAGAAAAAGGGGAAGGTATGTAGCAGTGGTTGAACATTGACCTCAAAGAGAATGGGTTTGACAACGCTTCATAATAATTGTTGTTTATAAACTGCGCAGTGCACCCGTCCTGCCTGGAACTGAGCGCGGACACGATCCGCAAGTGCCGCGACTACGCGTGGCAGTGCGCCGAGTGCAAGACTTGCTGCACGTGTCGCCAGCCCGCGGACGATGACAAGATGCTCTTCTGCGACCTCTGCGACCGCGGGTTCCACATCTACTGCGTCGGACTCGACACCGTGCCTAGCGGTATGTATACTAACATCCAGTCAGTCTGGAGGTCCTATCTCCTCTCCTAAAAGGTCGGCAATGCACTTGTAAATCTGGTTTGCAAGTATTAAGTGATCCGTATCCATCTGCTACTTGGTCTCCCTATTCCATAATTAAACGATCAATGCAAACAATCCGCAAAAAGGATATCAAAGCTGAATTGAATCACAATATTATATGAGTTTATTCCTATTTGTTACTAGCTTCTGCCCGCGACTTCATAGGCGCAATCCCGTGTTCTTTCGGTTTTCTAAATTTTTTTTCTGCTATAAAAACCTTGACCTTATCAACCATTTGTTATTAACATGTTGTTTTGTATTTGTAATTTTTACGTTATCTTTGAAAATTTACTTATTCTAAAGTTTGCCTATTGAAGTGTAAGTCCGTCAAATATTAATATTTCTATAGGTATGTAACGTAATTCTATGAACCTGTTTATAACTAAACTTTTCCACAAAAACAAACCAATTAGAAACAAACAAGTTTTTGTTTTGTATCGCAGTTCATTGCGAACAATGAATGAAATACTTATCTGTATTTTTCGGAAGTACGATAACAGTTATCTATTCGATTGTATCACGTGTTTGGGTAGCGTAATTTGTGTTTACTAACAACCTCATTCGCCGGTCATGTTGTTTATGTTAGACCGCGAAAAATATTGTTGCTGTTTAGCAAAACCGGTTTGTGCATTGTTGTATAAATATTTTTAACTGTCACATGTTGGAATAAAGATTAATTAAGCACTTGTTAAGTAATGTGAAAATACAATTGTGACTAAATAATGTGGACTTTGCATAATACCAACTACCGACCTACTTACGTCCATTCATAATAAGAATGTAAATCATTGTTCATGTTACTTATTATGCACATACTATGGGCTTTTAGACATACAAAAATGGGGACCAGTATTGAAAAGTGGTTTAACATCATCCCCTATACATAACTAGAAGAAGGAAGGGTTAACGTGATGTTTTGTTCCATAAAATAATAGTGATGAAAGTTTGCAATAACTATCACGTTGTTTAGTGTTTCATGACTCTAAACTTGAAAGTGTCAATGAAAAATCTAGTTGTGGACTATTACTTGAAGTTGTATCGTGTATTCCAGGTCGGTGGCACTGCGTAGAGTGTGCGATCTGCAAGTCCTGCGGGGCGCGGTCGCCGGGCGGCGCGGCGGGCGCCGGGCCCGCGCCCTCCACGGAGCCCGCCGAGTGGCACCACCAGACGCGGCGCGGCCTGGGCGGACACAAGGTCTACTCGCACTCACTCTGCACGCCCTGCGCCAGGTCAGTACCTCGTATACTCACACTCTACTCTCAAACAAAACTGGTTTTACTCTCACACCGATCATTGGCGCTGATAGTCAGACCATCAGCTCGAGCCGTTTAGTCGCACGCTGATTACTGCCAAGTACAGTCACTTGTTGTTTTTGAGTATTAACAAGTCATCACTTAGTCAAAAAAAACGAGAACCTAAAGAAAAGCAATATGGTCATTCGTTTCTGATGTCAAAATTCGACGCCGACGCATGTCAGCATTGAACAATCAACCTGATTCAGAAATGTTTCTTTTAATTTAACATTCATTTTGATATGTCAGCGCTGATGTTCAGTGTGAGTGTAAAACTAGCCTAATATAACTCCCCATAACAATACACAAAAGATACAGAAGCACCAGTGTTTTGAACCAATTTTCTTATTGGGCAAAATAAGTCCTAACTCTTAGGTTATGGTCATACTGACAGGTTATTTTAATTGGATGTAACTACGGAAGATGTGGTGGAAGGTGACTTACATATAAAATCTTTGTAATATTGTTCCATATGTTTTGTGAAATAGACTAAATTAACCAAAGGATAACTAATAGTCCCGTAATGGTCTTGAGTTATTGTTTCTTTGATTCAGAAGACATTTATGATTTATAAAAACTATGTAAATCAACCTGTAAGTATGGCCAAAGGTTTCTTAGATAGATGTATCAAATCTGAACAAAAATACAATAAAAAATGTTAGCAACCAAAATATCAGTACTTTACTACCACAATAAAAAGCCGACAGACATAGGAACACCTTACAGATTTATATCAGTAATTTATTATTAAATTTAAGTATCCATTTAGTTTCATTTATGTTATACCTTTCATCATCATAAATCGTATTTACTCAAATACAGACTTGATTCATCATAATACCAGTTTACCAAAAAGGATTGATATCCTTTATTACTTGGTAGATGGTGATTGATACCTATTCCTCAGTAGACATTTTATACATTTATCATCCAGAATACATGTAGTACAAATATCATGGAGTAGTTTTGGTTAGTCATTGGATATTATCATGATATTGAATCTAATTCATTGCTAGTATCGCTGCATAGTACCTTTTACTGAAGAACTAAATGAGGTTTATGTTTGAAAAGTTTTGTAGGTAGGATTGATTGCCTTCTTATCAATGTATCAAAATTAATAAAATATTTCAATTGGCAACTATAGTTAGGTTAGGTCTACTGTTAATGAAGATAACAGAAATTAACAATAATTCAATATTATTTTTCAAGTAACACCAAGAGGGTGGCCAACAAAACCTGAGTTTCCCAAAGGAAGAATATATATCGAGGGATGCTGATACAAAGTACAAAGTTTAATAACAAAATCATTAAACGATTTCTATGTGTATATGTTTACGTATTAATTGGTCTTGGTAGTTGATGTGTTTTCACGTCATTTCATGCGTGTTTATGTGGAGTAACACGAGCTGGTCATAGTGTCGTCTCTCGTCCGCCTCACTCTGTCGACATCCGCTTTGTCTCTGGTACTGTAGCATTGTGGCCCCGCAGAATGTTTACTTTGCCCCAACGCAGCGTTCTTACTCAGCACATCCCAGTACCGTATAAGTTGCATGCCATCCCCATAGACATAAGTTTATTATTTATGCATATTTGAAGAATGTTTGTTGATTGTTATAATCTATTAATCATTTCTTTAACTTTGTATATTTATTGTATTAAAGTCTAATCATTTACGAGCAAACAGTCTTCACAGAAAGAACAGCAAAGTGGACCTTATGCGAAGCACCGCCAATTGGTATGAGGGGATCACTTTGTATAGCACTGTCTTTATACAAAGTTGCTTATTGCAAACACAATTCTGACAGTGGGAACAAAATTCTGGGCTTTGTGGAATTGAGAATACTGCCAACTTTACTGTTCCTCCTACTTTTATTGATTATTTTAATACTTTCATTTGTTCCATAATTGATGCAATACACTTAGGTAGCTAATAACTTTTGTCTTTTTGTATTATCGTTGTGTTGATGGTTGTACTGCGTCAATTAGCCTTGTATCATCAATGACAATGGGTGTCGACATCTCACCAGTCATCCTGCAGTCGGCTGCGACTAACTCCCATCCATTCTGTTAACTAACAAGGGCGTAGTACCATCAGTCTCCCCACTGCGTTCACTAACTCGACTCTATGCTTGTTGCTCGTCTTCGGACTCCGGTCGATACTCTATACACATGGGACACGTAATTATATGTTTTTATTATTTGTAGCTAGTCGTTCAATTTTAATGTTTGTTATATTTTATGTTTTTATTTAGTATGTTAGTGTTTTTCAATGTTTACGACTTTTACTCTCAATGTGTATTGTATGGCATTTGGCGCAAGCACTTGCAAATTAGTGTTTGAGATTAATTTAAAAATATCGCCAGTTCCGAGCTGTCGTGTTAGTACCGTGTGCCGTTACTGTACCGTGTAATATAACTGAACGAACGCTAGAAGAGAGTCATTCGAGGACAAGCAACAATCCGTATGAATGAAGCGAGACCGTCCACTCGGCGCGGGGTTTCGGTGTTAATACTAATGGCGTGTTTCTGTGTTCCGGTGCTTGTGCGCGTACGGTCCGTATGTGTGTGTGCGTGCGTAGGGCGTATCGCATCGGTCGCTACTGCCCGCTCTGCGAGCGCTCCTTCATCGGCCCGAAGGGGACCATGCAGCTCGTCATATGTAAGCTCTGCGATAGGCAACTGCATCAAGGTACGTCAGACCCACCGACACGTGTAGACGCATTCGCTTGCCCGCCCGCTACTCCGGTTAGACATGTTATCTAGACTGCATGATACCTATGTAAGCCTATTCTCGTTTTCTGAGTCCGTGCACGGGTCCAAACCAAGTTCAACCGTAGATACCCTTACCAGTACCCATAACTTGTAACTATCGCTTCATAATGAGGTCTGGAAGTAGTGTTACAGTTTAGCTTCGTTCGGGCCAATATGGAGCTCATAAAACGGAAATAACCTTACGTAAACATAAGTTTATTGATTGCCCTATATTTTCGTGGGGTATATTGCCTGGTCTAAAGATATTTGATAGATTATAGATATTGTCCGCATGTCTAACCAAGGGCGGTTTTCTGAAAGTGAGGAAACATATTTTATGTTCATTGTCCGAAAACCGCTTTTAGTCGAGCGCATGTTTATTACTGTTGATGTGTGAATGCGCTGTGCATGACCTAGTACTTAGGTACGTAAAACATGTTATACTCACAAGCTTTACTCAATCCTTCATTTTTGTCATGATACATAGTTTCGTTTCCATAGACATTATGTAGCCTTATAGTATGTATATTTATGCTTGTTTCCATATTATATAGCTATACCCTATATTATCCTATTTGTGCTACCTATTATGATTGCCTACAGAACAACTTGTACAATATATCCTGAAATATATACGTAACTATACGATTCGCCGTCCAATACAATAAACTTACGACATATTATATACCGATAGGGAGCTTTTGTTTTTGTTAGATGTGATTAGATGACAACGTATAGGTGAACGCATGATGTATAATACACAGTAAGCAATGATCTGCCTAAATTAGAACATAGCTGAAAATATATTGGGTCGCAGAACACGAAGGGTTTATCGAATTTTGCCGAATTGTGTGTGCCATGCATTGTCGTGTACTAGGTGTAGGTAAAGGCTCGATTGAGTCACCGGCATGGGGTTGAAAGGGAATTATATTACGGCGTAGGTATGTATTCAATGTACTAAGTACAACTCTGCTACTACGTATACTGTGCCTCGTTGTGCTGACCGCCTATGTACTTATTGTGCTCAGTTGCATTTGAATAAAAGGTTCATGTAGTTTATGAACCGACCATTCATTATAATGAATGCGTATTGTAAAAAAGTATTGTTTGTGTTTTACATTAGTATACGACGTTGTCTGACACGGTGACACAATGAAACAATGGCGGTCAGACGGTCCCGGAGCCTCCGTACATATTTAGGTGACCAACGTGCCCGACTAAAGTTATATTTTCTCTTTGATTTTCCTATGAAATTCGCACGACTTCGCACTGTCTAAGTCTTCGTTTTTCTTCTAATTTTCTGTTTACCCGCATTGGAAGCAATACTGAGTTTTCAGTCGGATACGCATGAATGTTATACATATAACGATTACCGTTGTCCTTTTTGTTATTCTCAAGAGTCAGCACCATCTAGCTATGATTCAAAAACTATCATTCCAATCCTAAAATTGCTAAGTGAAAACGAATGTTTTTTCTGCCACCAAGTATTGGTTATTTCATTAAATTCTTTTATCGGGCACACGACGCTACGAAGGCTCCGGTGAAACGATATAGCCAGTGGTGGTTTGTGACGTTGGCGATGTTCCCGGCAGATTGCGTTAGACAGACGGTGTCTAATCTGAACGTGTTGGACTACACGTGCGCGGAGTGCCGGCGGACGGGCATCACGTCGCGCGCCGCGGCCGTGCGCCTGGCGCCGCGCACCATCGCCACGCTGTTCATGGCCAAGCGACGCTTCAACAAGTACGCGCACCGCCAGTACCTGGCCAGCCGCCGGCGCCAGGCCGAGGAGGCGCGGCTCGAGGCGGGCGACGACTCCGTGGACGCGGCCGAGGGAGGGGACGCGGAGCCGCTGCGCGTGGAGCTCCGCGACGACATGTCGGAGGGGTCGGACGCGGCGCCCGACCTGGCCGACACCAGCGACCCGCTCGACGCCACGCCCGACGCCTGAACTCTCCGCGTGCGCGAGTGAAGCGGTGGACTGTATACAAACTGACGTGTAATATATATGTAGCTGTTCTTAGTTCATATGTAACTCTTATTCGCTTCGGTACTACGGTTGTAAGGTAAACTGTTACATAAATCTGATTAATATAACGATTAACCGGTAGGCTATGTACGAGTAAGTTGTCGGATAGTGAAGAGATACTAGGTGTATTGTCTCTTTGTGTTATCGCTGCGTTTTATTTTCTATACGCTGAGATGTTTGCAAGTACGATCCGGAAGGAGCCGGCGCTGAAATATTATGTATATTATTATATCCCTAGTGGGAGTTAGACGGTTTGATTTAACAGATGATAAAGATCATAAAAGTGGTTAGATAGATAGCTGTAGATCGCAGGACTCTTAACATTAAAACTGTACAGTAATTTAATACTAACTTCACTATATGGGTAGCTGGGCAATCATACTATTTTTAATATCATAGATTTGAGTTAAAGTATCCTGCAAGACAAATCATGTATCTTATTGTGTATTCGTCCACAATTGGTTCTGTTGGAAGTGATTAGATTACGAGATATTGTGTAGTTGTGCTGTTATTACTTTACGACGGATGATTTAGTTGCATTGTGCCGCATCATGTTCGTTTATATGTGTGAACTCTATATTAGAACTGCAGACGGACATGGTACATTTTGTCATTTACGAATTAGTTCTGAGGAATACAAATTAAAATAAATGCATACAATAGAAATCTGCCTTTTAATGCATTTTTTAATTTTGTTTCTAAATTGTTTTTGTTGTCACTGCTGTTGATGAATCGGTCCACATACTATTGAAGACAGTGCGCATTTTGTTTATTTTTTATATAGTATAATTTTTAGATTATCGTTAATTTCGCTTAATAAGGTATTTATTTTAGTTGTACTTTTATATGGATACAGCTGTATACAATCTTATGTCCCAGATAATATTCGCGGAGGATTGTTATATGAACGTAGGGAATTTATATAAATTCATCAGGTTTGGATAGTTATGATTGATTCTGTTTGCCTGTAATGAATTTTATTTATGAATCGTTTGGGTATGATTAAGAATATGTTTCCCCCTAATACGCACTTTATGAAAGTTGTTGATTAATTACACTAGATTATTTTATAAGATTTTTATCGTTTCTGTAGTTTAATTATTGTACGAATCAAATTCAGCAGCTCTTCTTTCAAATAACATTTATTGTTTTCCTTACTTAATTTCAAAGTACAAAACATAGGCTACCTTTATGTACTATTTACTAGCACTCGTTCTGGAAGGCAATATGAACCCAATGAATAAATAATTATAGTTTTATAGAAAGATCAAATAAATTATTTAATTCAGAGTATAGTATGTTTATTTTCATTATGAGAAAATTATTTATTTATACCTATGGTTACAAAGATAGTATTATAGCAGAATTGGGTGGTATTTATTTCCAGGGCGATTCCGGGAATGATTAGTTGGACACTCTGGGTAGTAGTCCCTGCAGCCACTGGTATTCGTTTTCGGTATACGTAACATTCGATTCAACAACGTGTATGCATTTGCTGTACTTACGATATAATCTCTGCGCGCTATCGTCTTTTTAACCACTGCTGTGTGCAATTATCCCCCATAATGTTGTGTATTATATCTTGTATTAGAATTATATTGTGTAAGTGCAGGTGACGACCTTAGTAACTTCATTGAATACTGACACTAATGTATCAATGTTTTAGTTTATAATTATGCTTTGGTTAATATTAATCATAATTTACTTATTAGTGATGACTTTTAAGATAAAATTGATGTCCTCGAAATCATGATAATATAAACCTTTTATACAATATACACAACTGACCCCGGTGTTACTCACACCGTAATTCGCATTGCTTTATCGACACAGGTGAATTTGTAAGACTTACTTGTAAGAGAATAATGATAACTTTATGTCTACTTAATGCAAGTGTAAACGTTCTAGAAATCTCGCACTGTTCGGTCAATTTTTGTAAAAAAAGATAAATAAATTTTAATTTGAACTTTTGTTTTTCTTTTTTATTTTCACGGCAATGCAAGTTTGTCTGTTGATGGAATAAAACACAAATGCAATAAAAAATAATGTATATATAATTTGACTTATAGTATGGTAAACTCGGTAGCATAATTAACAAAATTTTATAAACACTGAAAATATTCAGCAAATATATTTTATAAACTGGCAATAAAGCATCTGTATCCTTATATTTCGATGAAACCTGGGGACAAGAAGAATGTAATATGTTAATATAACGATACCTGTACTAGTAGTAGATGTTGACATAGGAAAGACATACATATATATAGTAAAACTACTTTTTATGGATTGTTTCGCGTAATTGACGTCCTGAAAATAAAATCAATGCCTATAGACAACAATTGACTATTGCCACCAAAAGTTTGTTAGAAATGAAATAATTTGAAATATCTGTACATTCAAAATACACGCAAAATAGTCGTATAAAAAGCAGTTTTGCTTTAAAACCTAAGATATAGACGGACATTGAGTTAGTAGTAGTGGTGACATGGTCACTCGTCGAGTCGCAGGCCGCTGATGGAGAGGAAGGTGAATGCGTTGTGCAGCGCCAGCACCGGCACCGCCGTGACGGCCGCGCGCGCCCGGCCGCGCCCGCGCACCGCCCGCACCGCGCGCCACAGCACCGCCGGGCCCGGCGCACTCCACGCCTGCGGGGTAGGGAACGGTCATTTCTGACTTATCATCATAAACCGCATATAAATGCCCACTGTTGAGCAAAGCCTCTTCTCCCACGGAGAATTTTTGAGCATTAATCGCCACACTTGCTCAATGCGGGTTGACGATTTCAAACTTATAATTAGGAATTATAAGCTCAGGTTTCCTCACGATCATTTCCTTCACCGTTTGTCAGTGGTTTCTAGATAATGTTAGAAAGTACATATATAACACGGAAAAAGTACTTGACTATGGTAGATTTCGAACCTTCATGCATGAGAAGCGGGCGGAATTTTTGACTACCTACATGGTATTATATTTTTTTTTTATAAACTATATTTAAAATAACTGATTTCAACCCCCTCTTTTTAAAGTCTGTTAATTAATATACTAAAACCATCTTCCAAGTGTAACGATCACTTTTCTGAAAATCACATCAAAATCGGTTCAGCCAATAGCGAGATATCGTGCACAAACATACAAACTCAAACTCAAAAGCATTTATTTCAATTAAACCATAATTTGGTACTTTTGAAACGTCAACAAATATGAGATATATAATCGTCTGTCAGTCTGTCCGTCAGTGAAGCTAGGCGCTCGTTCCAAAATGTCGATTCGAGTGGAGAAGAACGAGCAAGAAACTCCATTCGTTACTCTTTTAAAAAAAGTCTGTTTTACATTGCTCTGATACATATTCCAATATTGTACACACATGTGAGAATAATGTAAAGACATACCTGAAGCAAAATACAAATAACAGAACATACTAAAATAGAAAAAAAAAACAAAACCAAGAGAAAACAAATATCTTAAGTCTGACATGGTCCTCACATATGTATACTGACAATCCATATAAAATAGTGCTTCTATACAAGAAAAAAATAAAAAATATACTCTTGTTTAAATAAAGAAAGAAATGCTCGATGCCACAAGAAAAATAGATTGCCTTCATCGGAATCAAAGTGTTAAATTACCTATTATCGTAATCTGAACTAGGTACTGACTACATTTGAGTATTGTCCAGTGGAGCCGAACCAACACGCTGCCAAGCATTCCTATCCTCAAGATAATCAATCACCCTGTAGTACGCTTGTTTACATAATTCGCGCTTAATATATGTTTTAAATTTACTTTCATTTAGATCTAGTATGCTATTTGGTATTTTATTATAGCATTTAATACCTAACCCCATAAAGGATTTCTGTACCTTGGACAGTCTGAATTGCAGTACAGCTAACTTATTCTTGCCTCTAGTATTAAGATTGTGTCTATCGCTTCTTTTTTCGAACAATTGCCTATTCTTTCTTACATACATTATATTTTCATATATATATTGACAGGGCACCGTTAAGATGTTTATCGTTTTAAACAATTCTCTTAGCGATTCGCAACGGCGTAAGTTATATATTGCTCGGATAGCCCGCTTTTGAAGAATAAAACATACATACATGTCAAATTGAGAATCTTCTTTTTTCTTTTTAAAGTCGGTTAAAAACGAAATATCTTTAGAAAGTAATCAATGGAATTAGGCTAACGGCCAAAATGAATAATCAATATTAATTCAAAATCTTGAAGAATTGAAGATTCTGTCAAAAACAAAAATCGGTCCGGAGATTAATTTCAGCAGTATAAGCTTTATGATAGTAAATCTTCTAACTACGTTTTAAAATTTTAACTGTTTCAATTTTTATTTAGCTTCAACATGGACCCTTCAAAGATGATTGCTGTCCGAAAAATTAATTTATTCGCAATCTCCAATTTCCTTCAAATTTAAAGTTATGTGTTCAACATTAAGAAGACTATAATGTATCTTACCTGATAAAATATCCTCATCTTGACAGCGTGTTGAGTTTCGACATCCCTGTCTTGTGTGAGCTTACGGAGCGCATATTCGAGCACTTCTTCAATTTGTTCCTGCGTCATACTGGACGCTCGCATGCGGTGCGTCGTGCAAACTTCCTCGCTCGGGAATGACAGCTGGCAAGTTGATGGCGAAGAACCTAAATGATAAAAATAATGTACTACATTGTTTTGCAAACAGGCTGTTTTTAATGTCAGTGTGCCTCTTTTTTTAATTAGTCAAGACGGCTTGATCATTGACCTTATAGAAAGAAGGATGGACATCTGTCCCTCCCAGTGTTATCTAGGGTGCTACACTGAGAAAAACGAATTTAAGCTAGCTTCAAGCTAATACTCAATATATTATGTCAATATATAATATGTCATTATGTTATGTCAAGCTAATAGCTGGAAAGAATTTGAATGAGTGAAATCATGAATGTGTACATCGACCAAAAACATCTTGTATAACTAAGCTATTGGTGAGTCTCTCCAATTATAATTATTATACTATGTATCTGTAATATTCTATTATCGGTGACTAACTGACTACATACCTGTAGCAACATAACAAACAAAAGCGGCGACAGTGTTCTCGTAGTTCCACCTCCTCGTGATTGCAACTTTGTAATCGCCCACATTGCAACCGGTCTCCTCATCTGTAATGCAAATAATAACTTAATAATAGTTTACCTTTTAAGATATCTGAGGGTTATTGTTATTGTCTCTACAAATATAAATGAAGCTGATATGACGCTCATCGTGGACAAATAATATCCATATCGGATAGGTGATTTTAGTTTGAATGAATATAAGTTCTCTGTATATTGCAAGAAAGACGAGACTCAAGGTAAGTTGGAAACATTTGATAGTTTTTGCTTATTACCTATTTGGTAGCTTTGAGGATTAATCTATGAGTTTTGATGTTTGATAACTTCCTCTAAAAGAGTATGCATAACATGAAGATGTTTTCATGGTTCTTGTAATGCCCTCGTGATGCCTTCGGCGTTGCCGGTAAAAATAACTGCTTACATATCCCATAAACGTTATTAGCAGTAATAAAAATAAGTTGTATTCTTACACTCGAACCGGTTGTTGTCAGTATGCGCCCAGGCGTGCCACTCGACGAGCGCGTGTCGCGGCAGGGCCTGCACGACGGCGTACTGCACGATGGCGCCCGCCGTGCGCCGCTCCAACTGGCGCCGCGCCTCGCCCACCGCGCCGCCCGCGCACACGTAGCATACGCTCTGTCGGACCATTACATGGAACTCTTTGTATTGTGTCATGCTCTATACTCTCAATTATTTCTAATAAGGTGGTATAAAGTGAAAATTATATTGTAAAAGTGTACCAATAGGCTAAAACATTGTTAGTGGCTAGTTACTGTAGCTTGTTTAGATTGCTATCGTAGTTATATTACAAAATAACTACGTATAATAGGTAGACATTCTCAAAAGACACAGTTGTTGCTTACTGTGAAAATAGCCTCGTTGGTCGCAAGTGCGACTGCCGGGCAAGGGGTCCCGGATTCAATTCCCGGGTTTAAAAAAATAAACTAGCAGCACGGAGTCTGGAAATTGTGCCCAGTATATGGCAATATTCTCACCCTCTATTACATGGGACTCATAACATAAATAGTGAAAAGTGGGTGTTACATTGTACAGTGGCATTAAGTGCCGTAACATGCACCTCCGCCTACAACTTCGGGGATAAAAGGCGTGATGTTATGCAGTACCTGCACGACGCTCCGTATGTGCGCCCGCGGGTGCAGCGCGCGCAGTACCCGCGTGAGGTGGCGCAGGGCCAGCGCGCTCTGTGCGCGCGCCCCGCCGCCCGCCAGCGACAGCGAGCCCGGCACCAGCGCGATCTGTCCGCATGTACCCATCACTTCGCCCACCTGGGAAACGACGAGTATTTATTTTATACACATCTGGAATAATTCCTTCTGTTTCTTTACGTTTTATGAAAACATCAATGGAGATTTGTAATACAGGTATTTTACGCCTAACACAGATAACACACGCCTGCTATAAAAATTGATTATAAAAAACTGTAATACAATATAAAAAGAGGAAAAATAAAGAAAATTTATTAATATTATTATCAATTTAATTACGTAGACAAAGGCTGAACGAATTAACATGTGATTGAAATAGACTAGAGCAGGCTGATGTAAGTATTTAAATCCATTTAACTTTTATTTACTTCACTCAAATCCATTTAACTTTTTAACTCAGGATAAGTAATTTCTTAAAAAGTTGTATTGTAAAATGTTTTTATTGTAGTTCTCCAACATTGTATGGATAAAAAGGTTCGAAAACCCACGGGCCCCTCTCTTCCTGAATTTAGACTTTAATTTCTGGTTCGATAAACCCTATGTAAAAGCACAGTATCTTTTCTTTTCAGTGAATAAAATGGTTAGTGTTATATTATAGAAAAACTTACTTTAACAGCCTGACTGTATGGTCCAATGTTGG